TCCTTCGCATCCGCAGGGCTTCCCTCCGAGCCAGACCCACAGCAGGGGCCACGGCCACGGCCACGGCGAGGCGGCCCCTCCCTGGGTCCGGGGGCCAGAGGGAATTCTCTCATCTTGGGGACGGCCCTGAGGTCCCCTGCCAGTTGGCAGGGTGCAGCTGGGCACCCAGCCCCTGCCGCCGGGGTGGGGGGAGCCCAGGGTGGCCTCCTACGGGTGCTTGTAAAATGGGTCTGATGTTTGTCAAGGGCGGGGCACACGTGGGCGCTGCTTTATTAATAAGAGGTAACGCAGGGGGAGCGGGGGGCGGGGAGCGGGCGCTGAGCAGCCCTCTGCCCGGAGTTCTGTTTGCTCGTCTCCAGGGGAAGTCCAAGCAGCCGGCCTGGGTGCCCCCGGAGCCCTTTTTTTTTTCCTTCGCATCCGCAGGGCTTCCCTCCGAGCCAGACCCACAGCAGGGGCCACGGCCACGGCCACGGCGAGGCGGCCCCTCCCTGGGTCCGGGGGCCAGAGGGAATTCTCTCATCTTGGGGACGGCCCTGAGGTCCCCGCAGGGAAGGGGACGTCCCGGTCAAGGAGGACGCGGCCATGGGGTGTCCCCGGGCCTTGGAAAAGCCGAAATCCTGGCTTCGCGCGGCCTCTTCCTTCCCTCCCGCCTCCCGACTCCGCCCCGGGGGACGCTCTGCACACAGCGGAGGGAATAACTGAAATCAGCAGGACCCTCCCTCCCTTCAGAACACGCAGGCCGGGGCTCCACCGGCCCCTCCACAGGATGGCTCCCCAGGGGTGCCCTGGCCCCCGGAAACTCCATTTGAGTCAGGGGGCGGGGGAAGGAGGCTCCCCTGACGGGAGGTTTCCATGGTGCCCGTGGGCATCCCGGAGGCGGGTGCTCAGGGCATGAAGGGGCAGTGCAGAGGACCGCCTGGGAGAAAGGCTGGCCTCCCCGTGTTCTCCGTGGGCCCGGGGCGGCGAGTGTGGGGTCCCAGGCTGCAGGGACCGACCCGGGCTTGGGGGCGCCCAGAGCTGTGTGGACGCCCCGCCTCCCTGGCCCAGCGGCTCCTTCGCTGCTTTGCAAACAGAGCGGCTGAGCACACAGAGCGAGGAGTGTTTACCGGCCATTTGAGGGAGGAGGCGGCAGCGTCCCCACCACACTCCAGGGCAGTGGTTCTCAACCTGTGGGTCGCGGCCCCTGTGGGGGTGGAACGACCTTTTCACAGGGGTCGCCTAAGACCATCGGAAACACATCTATCATCACATCTTGTTTCTGTGGTTAGTCACTGTCTTTAATGATGTTCCATTTGTACAATGACATTGGGGGTCACCACATGAGGAGCTGTGTTAAAGGGCGGCGGCATTAGGAAGGCTGAGAACCACTGCCTAGGGGCAGGGGGTGCCCCTGACCTGCTCCAGCCTGGGGCCCTGAGTCATCCTGCCACGCGCGACACAGGGGCCAGTGCACACCGTGCAGGTGGCAGGGACGCCCACGGTGCGGGGAGGGCCGGCTGTGGGCTCAGGAACGCCCCTCTGCTGTGCGCCCCGTGCGACCTGC